ACCTGAACTTATTCTTTTAGGGACCCTTAAGCTTAGGTGTCCTCTGAAAAGACAGATTCTTTAGGTGACCAATCGCACCTAGATAAAAAAGATTGGTGGCGACTCCTAAAAATCAATGTCTAGCGATAGATCCCCGGATCTAGACATTATGACATTAGAAAGAGTCTTAATATTGAATTCGAAACTTAATTCAATTAGTTCATATAATTATTTTTACAAAATATCATTAAACAGGTCTGTAATCCAAATTTTAATATTTATAATTCTTTTTTTCTATTCTTAGACTACAGCCTCTTATGTGCCCAAAAAAAGAATCCTAATATCTTACATACAAGTCAATGACCCAATACATGGGGCCATAAATCTTGATAAATCATATACATACTACCTTAAAGAAATTGAGAACTCAGGTTATTATATAAAAATAAAACAGTAAAAGTTAGCCTTCCTAATTGTGGTAATATTTTTTACAAATTTTCAAAATTAGAAAAAATAGATTTAAACAAACAAATGCATGGATTTTTTTTTTTAAAGAAATTAATGTAGCATGCATTTATAAAAAAAAAAAAAAAAAAAAAACCATTAAATTGAAAGATTAAAAAATTCGGCCAATAAAGGATTAGTCCCATTGATAAAAAAAACTTTATTTACATATCAATCTAGGTTTGATCCTTGTGTGAAACACGTTAATAATAAAATTGTTAAATACATCAAGATAATTAAGAATAATGAGTATGTGGCAAAAGGATTAAATTCAAATAAAATATGAGATACCTTAATCTTATTTAAAAAGAATGAGAAAGTTCATGCCTTAGCCTTACACTTGAGTCTAGAATAGAGGTACTTCATTGATTGGGATTTGGGATTAGCATTAACCACAACCGAAATATATATGATTTCTTGATTGGGACGTTAATTACTAGCAAGAGAGCAGCTAACCAGGCCCAAGTTTAAAGCTTTGGATTAGAGGGTCATTCAAGTTAAACTTGCCAAGCATTAATCAAAGCTGTAAGGCCTGTTGGCCGCAGACACATCAAAATTCCATATATAATTAACTAATATATATATTTGGTACGTAGGGGCAGAGCAGAATAGTTGAAAGTCAATATTCTAGATGTCACCTTAATCGAATGCGTTAAGGATATGACTGTGTATTACGTTAAGATCTTTTCTACAGTACTCTAACAAAAAGGTTAAAAAAGGACAAGTAGTTTAACTTACTTGGCTGGCTGGCTGGCTGTCTCCATCCATTTTGCAGAAAAGAGAATGTAGTGATGTGATCGAGACTGGGGAAAAAGAGGTCTAATCTAGTAGATGTAGACCGTTGCCCACGTAGTCTAAATTAGGGTTGGAACTAGTCTTTGTGGTCTATGCCTAGCCTGCTCTCTCAAGTCTCTAGCCTTCCTTTAATTTCAAGACTAGTTTTGGACCCTTCTTTCTTCTTCGTCAAAACTGCTGCGCCTTCTCTCCAGTCTCTTCTTCTCAACTTATCTCCTATATTCTTCTACCAATCAAGGACATAACATCAGCTGCTTGCATTGTTGCCCCAAACTTCAAACAAGAAATGAGAATTGTACACCTAGTCACTAAAATAAAATCAGTTTTAAAATTCAATACTTAATCTAAATGATTCATCCATTTCTTTTAAGAAATAAATTTTTACAAAATTAAGATTTAATTTTCATCATTTACATTTTTTTATCATTTAAATTTCAATCTCTTTATAACAAAAAAAAAATCCCTTCTATTACCTATGTAACGTGTAATTAGTGGTAATTAGAATTTTTTTTTAAGAAGATCATAGTAATTATTCATTGCTCAAATTCATCTAAGTATTGGAAAGATTAATTGAACATATGGTTTTCAAAAATAGAACTTTTTGGAACAAAGTTTCCATCAATTAGTACTTTCAAGCTGTAATTTAGCTAATCTGAATTAGTCTGAAATTTCTTTGTGCTGTTTACTGTTGTTTAGTTCCTAAGTTCTCTGTTTTCATGGAGGATAAAAAATAACATTCAAATTCGATTCTTATTCCAGCATGGACTTGAAAACTGAATTTAGTACCATACTTCGGAAAACATTAAGCCAAATACGAGAACGTACTCATTCTCAAATGATTCTTTTGTTCCTAATGTAGTAATGTGTCAACATTCAAAACATTTTTCATTATGGTTTAATTTGCCTCATTTTGGATTATTCCATCTTCTACAAGTAATGTCAGACAGAAAGGAGCCGAGAAAGTAAAGAAACATAACCTAAAACATAGGACGGGCTTAGCTAAGGTTAAAGGGCTACACCAATTTATCGATGGGTCCCAACCATCATCAAAAGCCTGGCCTAAAGCTTTTAGCTATGTATTGACAGCTACGGGCTTAAAAACCATGCAAGCCCAGGTGAATTATTGATTATTTAAAATTTTAAAAACAGAGAGAAAGAGAGGGGTTGATTTTTGTTTGGGCTTGGGGAAGGGGCTCAAGAACCAAGAAAATGCTACCATTAATGAGAATGCTAGGTGGTTAACCCAATGAGGAAAGGCAAAGTCACCGCCGAAATCTGACTTTATTTTAAATTGTAATCCAAATAAGGATATGTCTTTGGCAATCTGTGCTGCAAAATCTGTTGCTAAATTTAAATACGTTGGGGGAGGGAAGGGAATGCATGTAAAAGAATGCCGGTGCTCATATATGCATGATATATATATATATATATGGATATATAAGAGAAAGTAACCCAACCTACCTCTTAATTTCTTTTCTCATGATCTTATATATGCAATGTTACATAGCTTTCAAGCCTAAGAGACAGACAGTAAAAAAACAAAAAGGGGCACATCGATCGAATTGTCCCCCACATATGGAAGGAAAACAGATATCTGCGGGCTCACATTATTGTAAACCCCAGCAGGTTTTTCCTTTCCGCAATAACCTTTCTGTCTGCTTTTCACTCTTTCTCAGTCCATTGGGTTGTGTCGTTTTTAATCTATAAAGTTTAGGGTATTATAATCGACAAAGATTATTTTAAAAATCATCCTTAATGTGCTTGACTTAATAGTTTCTTGGTTCTATTCAAAAGAAAAAAGAATAGTTTGTTGGTATTTTGTGATTATTTGTCGGAGGTTTTACATGGGGACAAAATTTCTTTAATTTTGAAAAGTCTTGAAAATTTTGGAAAGATATTACACTGCAAAAAACAAAACAAAATGGTATCTATTTAGCGTTAGGGTGGTGGGATATGCTGGTTTTTTCTTGCTTCTTTATCTACATAATGGAAACAAAAATGAATTGCATAAAATATATTGAATTAATTAATTAATTAATTAATTAGGTAATAACACAATAAAACATAGAGATGTACTTTAAAATTTAAGTGGCAACATTTTTGTCTGTTTTGGCAAACCAATAATTAATTTTCATGTCATCAATTTAATTAGTTTTGTCTCTAGGCATCATGTCAAACATAATTTAATATCATTCAAAATCGAAAATGGCAAGCTTTGGCTAAATGATTTGATGGTCCAATTATTCTCTAGTTGGATAGAATTAAGGGTTCATAAAGATTGATGGCTGCAAGCATCTTTGGCCATTCAGCTTGTTGTAATTTTGTTGTCAGACGCTTTTATGTTTAATAAGTGTTAATTGTTCATAAAAAAATAAAAAAAAAGGGTTAAATTTTTTGGTGGCAAAAAGTATAATTATATTTGAATTTTAATTAAGTAAAGGTACCAACCTGTGATCCAAAAGTATAAAAGGCAATATTAATTTAATTAATTATATATAAAGATGCCATATTTTATAAAGACATGTCAGTGTACGATTCCTTTATTTGACGAAAGACGTTGATGAGGAAATCAAAGATTTAAAACAAACGATTTAATCACTTTTGTGCATGCCATAAATGTTTTACCCTTTTAATTTTTTGAGTTCATTTTGATGCACAGATATTAAAATTTTTTTTAATTTTATAATATAAATACATATAAATCAAATCACCGAATTAGATCCACCGCAACATGAAATATAACTTAGTTCAAATATATATATATATATATATATATATATTAATAATTATTGTCTTAATTATTAATTTTTATAATGATAATTAATATAAAAAATTAATTATCATTATAGTGATGAAAAAGCTATAAATTATAGGAATATCAGCATTATCCTGGGTAAAGGAATCTTTCTTACCCATAATAATATAATTAATCATCGATTTGGATAAGTTGGTATTTAAATTTTAATAATACTACTTTCTTAACGGAGATTTTTAAACTAAGGCAGGCAAAGCAAATAGTTTTTTAAACTATTATTATTGTGTAGATAATGTACATACAGTATTGTTAAAAAAAATATAACTACAGATGAGAAATTGAGAATAAAAAAAATAATGTTAGGGGATTTTCCTTTTTCTTCTATTCTTTTGCTGCAATTTGTAAATTGTTTAAAAAGAAGCTTTTTTCAAAAAGTCCGACAGCGATGACTGAGATTTGCAACTTTTTTGGTGTCATTCTAACCCATCTTCTTCCAAATCAAACGATTATTTCATTTTCCTTTAAATCCTTTTCAAGTTGAATCCAAGGGAAGTCTATGCTTCCTTGCTCAAAAAGTTTGAGCATTCCAAAAATCCTGTCTTTTCAAAAGAACAAAAAAATGAGACTGCATGCCACAAAATTTTTCTCGTTTTTCCATTCCTTTTCCAGCTTTTCCTCCCTTCTCCTCTCTTCTCCTCTCCCCTTCTTTATGGCCTATCATCTTTTCGGTAACGGTTCTCCCCTGCAGAAATATGTCATTGGAAAGGCAAACAAACCAACCCAATCCCTGCTTAATTTTAAGAAATTTTCCACTTTAGGGTTTTCATCGAAACAAATCAATTAAGCCAGCTACGGCTACAAGTACAAGAGACAAACAAACAGACAAAAAAACCACAAAATGTTTTGGATAATATGGATCAAAGCTTATCACATTGATTAACAATGTTAATTCAGATCAGTTGGAACTCTAATTTCTAATTAAAACTACTACATTTCTTAAGAACCTGCAGTAAAATAAACAAAGACAAACCAAGCAATGTTAACAGATTTCTTCGTCTTCTACATTTCAAGACCACTTAGAGAATAAGGTCCCCCAAATCTCTGTAAAAACCTCAACAATAATCCTATGATGATGATGAGAGTTCAGTGACAGGAAACACTGCAATAGTTGCTCGAGATCCTTAGCTGCAAATATCTGTCTCTCAACGATCATCTCCATCATTGATGTCCTGAAATCATTGTAGGGATCACTAGAACTTTTCACCACAGCAAAGCTGTCTTTGACTTTATTGGTTCCTTCCAAAGGTAAAACCCCCATGTCATAACTCCTGTTCTTAGCTCTTCTCCGACGAGTGTTGCACGTTTTCCTGTAATTAAAATGTTTCCGGCGAGAATCAGATGAATCCGACGAAGGAGTCCTTGAAGAGAAAATAGTCTCGGTTGCATCTTCACTGCTAAACCACCACATTCTGTAATTATAATTATAATTATTATTATTATTATTATAAGTAGCACTTTCTTGAGAAGGTAAGCTGAAAAATGTGGTAGCAGAAGACAAATTCTTGCTTTTAACATGAACCTTTTTGTTATTCTTCATTTTTGTCTTCTTATGTCTGGCCAAGCTATTCTTTCTCTCATAGAAACCAAAGTCTTTGCAGTCAGAGAACAGGCTCAAAGGCGCTATAGGGGAAGTAGGAGGACACTGGCGGCCGTCAAAATCAGCGGCTGAGACTAGAAAAGAAGGGTAACGAGCAGACACTTTACGTCTTGGGAGAGTTTCTCTAGGAGTAATCATGATACAATCATGACTGATGGGGCCTTGGGTTGATTCAGGGCATCTGGGTTTACAAATGGAAGGGAAGGGTCGAGCCTTAGGTGGCGATGACGACGATGACTCGATCAAGTGGAAGTTGTTGTGGTTTTGAGGTGAGAAAACGGCTTTTTCAATAACGTCCGAGATGTTCCGGGTTCGGCAGGAACCAAACGAGGATCGAAACATGCTAGAGATTCGTAGCTTGAATCGATTTTCCATTTCCAGAGAGAGAATTTGGGTTTTTTTTTTTTTCTTGAAGAGAGAGTGGCGGTAATGAATGAAGAAAGAAAACTTATATAAATACATGAGAAACCGAAATTGGAATTGATTCTTATAATAATAATAATAATAATAATTTAATGAGTTGTATGGTGAAAACTTTCCTGTGTTTTTCGTCCATTTCTTTGTTCTTATTATGGAAATTTTTTGGTTAAGTAGAAGACATTTTTTTTATTAAGTCACACCCTGCAACTTTTCTCATGTCCATTAATTTTTAAATTTGTAAGTTTAAATTGTTCCAACTAAAAGTTTCATTAGTTCTAGACACTTTAATTGGTCCGAGCTCAAGTTTATTGGGCTTGATTCAATAGGGTCTGAGTCTAAACTAATAAAACCCGATTCAATGGGATTCAAGTGATATGCCCAACTGTTTGTTTGTTTTACTATTATTATTATTATTTTATTCTTGTTTTTATTTTGAATTTTTATTATTTATTTTATTAGTCAAAAAAATAAAAAAAAAAGATTGCAAATTGCACTGACAGAATTACAATTAGTTTCAATCTCTACAGGATAGTTTTTAGAGTTTCTGATAATGTAAAAATCCGATTGAAAAGGAATTCCTAATTGATTAGAAACTCTGTCGAGTGTTCTCTATAAATACAACCCATGAACAAACTAGAGGGGAACACACAAAAATATAGAAGGCAAAATTCAAAAAAATTTCTAAAGGTGTCAGAGGCAATTTTAGGATTTTTCTTTGAATTTTTTTTTCCTGGAAAATTTCTGCAAATTTTTCAGTTTTCATTAATTTTCGATGCCGTTTGAATTTTTTGGTAAGGAATTCCAAAATCCGATGATGATTCCAGTGAAAGTTGAATTTTTTGAAGAACTTTTAGCGACAACCCGATTCCGACGACGCTTTCCAGAATCCGATGAAGATTCAACCGGTGTTCATCCGATGTTCATCCGGATAGAGAGAGGGAGAGGAAAGAAGAGGGAAGAGAGAGAGGAGAAAGAAAAATTCTGCTGAAAAGGTTGAGAATTAGCCTTATATACCCATTGAAAATAACGTCGTTTTGGCCTTACTAATCCCAAAGGATCCGCATGTTTTCAAACGGGTGATCCGAACCAGCAACCCACATCCCTGCCTGGCTCTAGTCGAGCCAAGCCACAAACTGAGCCACCAAGCTGCACCTCTGAGTCGGTCTTTGTGCCTCAAGCCGAGCCACGCCAAAGGTTTTTTTTTTTCCTTTTTCCTTTCTTTCTTTTTCATTTAGTTTTATTATTTATTTATTGATTATTTTTTCTCTTATTTATTTAATGACTAAATTAAAATAAGTTATTTATTTAATTAAACATCATTTAATTTTTAATGATCTCTTTAAAATGAAAATTTGAAAAAAAAATATTTTTTGAAGGAAAGTTGAATGTATCAATTTCCTCTAAACATAAAAATTAAAAAAATATATTTTTAAAAGAAAAGTTGAAAGTATCAATTTTTCTTGAAAATAAAATTTTCAAAAAAAACATTTCTTGAGAAAAAGTTGGAAGTACCAATTTTTCTTAAAAATAAAACTTGAAGAAAAATATTTTTAAAAGAAAAGTTGAAAGTATCAATTTTTCTTGACAACAAAAATTTTTTAAAAATATTTTTAGGAAAAGTTGAAAGTATCAATTTTCTTTAAAAATAAAATTTCTAAAATAAAAATTTCCAAAAGCATTTTGAGGAAAAGTTGAAAGTATCAATTTTTCTTGAAATTAAAATTTAAAAAAAAAGCATTTTGAGAAAATATTAAAAGTACCAATTTTTCTTAAAAAATAAAAATTACCAAGAAAAATATTTTTAGAAAAAGTTGAAAGTATCAATTTTTCTTGTACAAAAATAATTAGTTTTTTTTCTTATAAAATGAAAAGAAAAGGATTTATATCAAAAGTCGAATCAATATTCCTCTTTTTTTATTATTTTATTTTTTTTCTTTTCTTTTCTTGAAAATTTTTTAATGTTAGATAATCCGACAATGGAGCCTCTACAAGTAGAACAATAGTTTTCTTGCATTCTCTTGAGGTGAGAAAATTTTCTTAATTTTTTGTCAAAAATATTGGAGTCAATTAAGAATAATTTTTAATAATTAATTATTTGATAAAATTTTTAAAGCTTAATGGATAACATAAAATTGAGCTAGTACCATCTTTTGATGGGCGTTGTGGGGGTGCTATAACATTTCTCACACGTAACTATACTCTCAGATCTAGTTTTGGTTTTGCAGATATTGAATCTACTTTTTAAAGATACTTAAGTCAAACTTAAAATTTTTCTTTAAGGGTGAATTCAGTCAGGTGACCAATCGCACCTAAATAAAAAAGATTGGTGGTAACGTCTTAAGTCAATGTTTAGCGATATATCCCCATATCTAGACGTTATGACAGTTTGGTGACTTCACTAGAGATAGCTAAGAGTCAAGCTAGCACATAAATTCGTATTATCCAAAAAGCCTAATAAAATTAAATTCTTTGTAATTTCTTTCTTTTTCATTCATTTTATTTATTTATATTACAAACTATGTCATTCATATGCATATGCATAACATGAGCTCTATACCCGAGTTTAATCTTTTTAGGATGGAGTAAAGTACCTATACTTTCGTGAGGTTCTAATGCTTCTCAGTGATTAACGAAATACTCTCACTCAAATTAAATCTTGTCCATTAGTAGCCTGTGATGGATGAGGTTTAGATTACTTTATTAGTCTATGATGGACGATGATGTAAGAAATAATTTGAGAACATTTAGTGGTCAAAATCGTCTAACCCAGCATATAGTGTATACTTAAGTGGCCAACCCTAAGATACAGCCCTTCTTACCCAATGATAGTAATACCCCAAAACTAAGACATAAGAAGGGACAAGTTGTGTTGATTGTTTGACTTTGTTTATTTGCATTATCATGTCATGCATCATTTTTATTGTCATATGTAACATTGTGTATCTGCATCATTTTCATATTAGATTTCATCCATAAAAATATACATTTCATTCATGCATCAACGTATCATACATAAAGCATAGCATGATATTTTAAATCATAACTGTGATGCTAAAGGTTCAAAGATAGCTCCACCAAGCAACCTCACTCACCAATACAATACAAAAGCTCGAATCAGACAAATGAAAAGCGAAAATTTTAATCATCTCGAAAGGATAGAGAAAGCTCAAGAGAAGTTAGAAAAAAAGTTGAATAGGATTTTGGAGGCTTTAAACAAGTTAAATAAGGGAAAGAGTGTAAAAGAGAATACCAACCAATAAGATCATCTCTCACAAGAGGAAAATAACCCACTGTATCCTCTTGATTTTGGGTCACATCAAATCCAACCTACATAAGGTCTACCACTACAGCAGTTTATCTATTCTGTAGGGTACACATATCCTGAAATGTCATCAACTTTAAATCAATGACAGTATCAAAGTTATGTAAATTATGTCTTTGTTGAAAAGATAGTAGAACCAATACCAGTCCCTAATTTGGATGATCCAAAAAAAAAAAAGCTGAGGCCCAAAAGAGAATGAGACTTTAGAAGCCTCAAAAGCTAAACAGAAGATGAACTTGTTAGATGAGAGGTTACGAGCCATAAAAAGCATTGGTTCTTATGATTCAGTGGATGCTACTGGGTTCTGTTTAGTCTCAGATGTGATAATTCTTCCAAAATTTAAAGTACCAGAGTTTAATAAGTATAATGGTATAAAGTGTCTGAAAACTCATATTACCATATACTATCAAAAAATGACTATCTATGCTAATAATGAAAAGCTATTGATGCATGTATTTTAAGATAACTTTATGGGCTCTGCTGCTAGATGGTATGTCTAGCTGGACATGACCCATATTCGTTCTTGAAGCGATATAACCCATGCCTTTATTAATAAGTACCGATATATTATAGACTTGGCCCCTGATCATCTTTCTTTATAGAATATGAAAAAAAACTGACTGAATCATTTAAAGAATATGCCTAGAGATAGAAGGACATAGCCTCTCAAGTGCAGCTTTCATTAACGAAGAAAAAAACTACGGTATTATTCATCAGTACTTTGAAATCTTCTTATTATAAAAAGATGATAGGGAATGTCATGAAGAATTTTATCGACATGGTAATCTCAAATGAAATCATTGAGAATGTCATTAAAAATGATAAGTTGAAAGGAAGAGAAACCAAGAAGACGCAAGAGAAAAAAGAGGCAGAAACTCAAGTCGTGAGCTTTGATAAACAATTCAAGGGTTATCAACCTTATCCACCATAAGCTAATTCTCCGTACTATCCTGTTGTGAATAATATCTCACCTTACCAACCATATCCACAATCAACTTATTCACAGTCAGCCCTTGAAGTACCTGCATCAGCTTTAAGGCTTAACAACCAAGAAATGGGTTTAAGAAGATATCGAGATAATAAAAAAATGGCATATATTGATCCTATCCCCATGACTTACATTAAGTTATTCTCAAAACTGATCAAAAATAACTTGGTATCTTTCGTTATTTTGAATCGTTAAAGACACTCTATCCAAAATGGTATGATGCTAATGCGACGTGCGATTATCATAATGAAAATGTGGGTCATTCTATTGAGACTTGCCCTGCTTTTAAACATAAAATGTAAAGTTTGATCCAAAAAAGCTTAGTGAGTTTCAACGAATCAGAGGGGCAAGATGTCAATAAAAATTCTTCACTTGATTGCATAGGGGCATGATTTTAGATAAGGATATCAAAGTTGGTTGGAAGATACGTGTCATTTTAAAATTTCTTTTAAAGTAATGTTAGGATTTTTTTTATGCAATAGGATTTCATTGGTTATCATTTTAATAAAAAGTAAGGTTAATGCATTTCATTATATTTTCTCTTTTATTCAATCACTGTTCCATTCTTTGTCACCTTTCATAATTTTTCATTCTCATTTTTTAACTCCAAACGATGAATATTTAGATAATTATGCTAATAATAAT